AAAACTACTCTCAGTTTCGTCGTTTCGCTGCTCTCTCTGACTACGCCATGATGAGGAAGGTAATAACTCCTGCGAATGTCAGATGGTCCTACTCGAAGCTCCTCAGAGACCCTCAACCCTCCTGAAGCCTGAGCTTCATGTGCCAAGGTCATCCCGTCAGAACAACAAGCGGTCTCCACCTGAACCGAAGGCGAAGAGCTAACAAGAGAAGGAACTACCAACCTCATGTGATCGAGATCGACATATTCTTTGAGAAAGTCAGAGTAGAGCTGGAAGAACCGCTGATCTTTGGAAATCCTAGCGATCATCCGATGGAGACAAGCTAGAGCTGGGCGATAAGAATTTCCTAACAACGAAACTGGAGATGAGAAGGGCAATCGGACGACATAACGACCTGTGCTGTCTCTAGAGTGAGTCTGACGAAAATGCTGCTCACAGCTAAGCTCGTCAGCCGAGAGATCTGAGTCAACTCGTCCAGGAACTTCCTCCTGGATCCAGAATTTAGAGAGAAGGTCTTCGAGCTGATCATTGGAGACCTCTGAGACAGCCAAATGATGAGCAAGTCGTGTTGGAGCTAGCGCTGTGCCTGTAGGACCGAATACAATCCAGCCGAAAGATGTGAGCTGAGCAACTGGAGCATCTGCTCCCTGTTTGATGATGCTGGGCTTGATGATTCGACCAAATACATCAGCTCCGATGAGCAGATCATTTGGAGCAGGGATTCGAAAATTCGGATCTGCTAAATTGAGATCATTGAGATGATCCCACTCGAGATCCTCTGCTGAGAAGGTCGGTAGAGATGCCGTGAGATGATCAAGAGAATGAGCGATAACTTCGATACGTTCTGCTGAGTAGATCGATTGTAGCGTGAGATGAACTTCGCCGGACGTTGTCCCAAACGACGACTTACCCACACCAGAAATGTGGATGGAGCTACGCTGCTTCTTCAGCTTCAATTGACGCACGAGAGATTCCGAGATGAGCGATAGTTCTGAGCCTGGATCCAAAAGTAAACGTACTCGCTGAGAAGGGCAATGATCAGGGCTGATGAGCAGAGCAAGACTTGTAGCGAGTAGGACACCAGGTCGAGAACCAAGAGAAGAGCTATGAGCAGAGCAAGAGATGGCCGTTTGGGAATGAGCTCTTCATTGCGGTGTTGAAGGAGCTGGCGTACTTTGGATGACCTCCCCAGCACTATTATAACTCACTGAGGGTACCCCAGATGACTGAGCAGGTCTGGCGGATTGCTGAGGGTGAGGCTGAGCTGAGCAGTTCTGAGGAGTAGGTCGAGTCGGAGCAGGGCGACGAGAGCGATCTAGATGCAGAAGAGTGTGATGTTTCTCCTGGCAAGTTCTGCACGTGCGAGATGTCTGGCAAACTCGAATGCTGTGCTTCCCCAAGCAGTTGTAGCACAGGTAGAGTCTGTCGACGACTTCCTTCCTTGCGATGGGCGAAAGAGCTTTAAATTCGCTGCAAGAGGCGATGTAATGGTCCCTCTTGCAGTACGAGCACGGATAGCCAGCGTCAGCCCAAGATGTCGATTGTGTGGACTGTATTTTTTTAGAAGGGCCATGAAGTTGCTGAGCCGACTGCTGAGAAGGACGAGAGGCTGACATCTGGTTGACCTTGGCGCTGATCTTCGTCACGGATCGAGTCTGAACGGTGGGTTGAGAAGGACGAGATGAGCTTGCTGAAGAGAGGGACTGCGATCCAACTTCCAGAGTCTCCATGGCTCGGGAGCGACCTTGGAGGAAATCAAGGAGATGGTCAAGAGAAGGATATTCAGTGGAGGCGCCGATTTTATTCTCCCAAGCTTCCCTGAGCTTGTTCGACAGCCGACGAGTGAGGACATGAACGACCACAGGACCCCAATAATCAGTTGGCTGATCCAGAGCCTTGAGTGCGCTGAGGGCTTCAGAGATCGAGCTGGTCAAGAGATTGAGGTCCGAGGCGCTGTGCGATTTCATTGGAGCTGGATTCAAGAGCTGGTCAAGGTGAGCTGCAACGAGTAAACGCTTATTCTCATAGCGATCGATAAGAGTCCTCCAGGCAATGCGAAAAGATTCCTCAGAGACGGGCAAGTTGGAGATGAGCTTGAGAGGTTCACCAGAGAGACAGAGGCGGAGGTAATGCATTCTCTCGACCCCTGGAATGTCTTGATTGTTGCCGACCAGTGATTGAAAAAGATCTCTCCATGGCCTCCACTCCTGGTAAATGCCTGAGAATTTTGGCAGAGAAATCTCAGGCAGAGCACGACGAGTTGAGCTAGTCAATTGTCCTTCCCCAGGTACACGTACTAACTGGTTCAGGTTTGGAGCGCCTTTCTTCTCCAGAAGCTGTAACAGCGCCACCTTAGCAGCGGCGAAGTTCGTCAGAGCTGAATCAAAGACCTGGTGCTTGAAATAATCGAGTGAGGTCAAGTTCTCGATTTTCTGAGACACTCTCATGAGAGTTTCTCTCAGTTTCTCATCAGCTTCTCTCAGTTTCTCTCAGTTTCTCAGTCTATCATCAGCTTTGAGTCGAGAGTTGACACACCGAGCTGCTTGATGTCCTCTTCATTGGACTCCTTAAAAATGCCTTCTATGAAGGCAGCGCGAGACATTTGCAGAGATATTACTGCTTCGAGGGTTGCCATGTTTCTATTATAATTTTAATAGTTTTGGGCGAAGAGCAAAATTAAAATTAAAAAGGCAGGAAAGCAGTAAAA